GCATCACTATCGGCGTATGATGTCTCAGTAGTACTGTCCTGTGATCGTTCAGTGGACGATATGCATCACTATCGGCGTATGATGTCTGTAGTAGTACTGTCCTGTGATCGTTCAGTGGACGATATGCATCACTATCGGCGTATGATGTCTCAGTAGTACTGTCCTGTGATCGTTCAGTGGACGATATGCATCACTATCGGCGTATGATGTCTCAGTAGTACTGTCCTGTGATCGTTCACTGCACGATATGCATCACTATCGGCGTATGATGTCTCAGTAGTACTGTCCTGTGATCGTTCAGTGGACGATATGCATCACTATCGGCGTATGATGTCTCAGTAGTACTGTCCTGTGATCGTTCAGTGGACGATATGCATCACTATCGGCGTATGATGTCTCAGTAGTACTGTCCTGTGATCGTTCAGTGGACGATATGCATCACTATCGGCGTATGATATCTCAGTAGTACTGTCCTGTGATCGTTCAGTGGACGATATGCATCACTATCTTATGATATCCTATAGGCGTATGATCGTTGTGGACGATATGTATCGGCGTATGATATCTGTCCTGTGACCGTTCAGTGGACGATATGCATCACTATCGGCGTATGATGTCTCAGTAGTACTGTCCTGTGATCGTTCAGTGGACGATATGCATCACTATCGGCGTATGATGTCTCAGTAGTACTGTCCTGTGACCGTTCAGTGGACGATATGCATCACTATCGGCGTATGATGTCTCAGTAGTACTGTCCTGTGATCGTTCAGTGGACGATATGCATCACTATCGGCGTATGATGTCTCAGTAGTACTGTCCTGTGATCGTTCAGTGGACGATATGCATCACTATCGGCGTATGATGTCTTAGTAGTACTGTCCTGTGATCGTTCAGTGGACGATATGCATCACTATCTTTGTATGTTGTGTCAGTAGTACTGCCCTGTGATCGTTCAGTGGTCGATATGCATCGTACTATCGGTGTATGCTGTCTCAGTAGTAATATAAATTATTTTAACATATGTTGGCATAAAAGAATTCATCAATTTCGCACATAACTTCACGCATCACAGTGAGTCAAGTTTATTCTATAGATTGTAGTTTTGTTTTCAGGAACAGTTCAGGGCAGAACCCATAAACTGTCTTACTTTACTACCTGACGTCAGTCTTCTCATGTTATGTCATATAATTTTTTTAAATACTTGTATGTATATTCCTGTTAGCGTCTAAATATTCAGTCAAAAGATGGCAGCTATTCGAACATGTTGCACTATATTTATTTGAAACTTTCGCCAGCACAACAACACAATTTCTTTTGCATTTGTGTTTACAACGTCAAGATTGTTTTTACATTTTAAAATGCAGTATTACAAGTAAATCGCTTGTTGATCATTTGTGGAGTCATGTATGCCTTGGGCCGGTGTCAGTCTTTTGTTTTGTCTGCTTGTGATGCGGATCTGTGTGGGAAGTAAGGTTTCACATATGAATACACAATGCCAATTATTAAGCGGTCAAATCTAACATACGTTATATACACAAAGAATGTAGTTAAGCACCCCCTGACATGTCTCAGGATTGAATGAGCCCCGATCTGAACCCTTTGGAGGATATTTGGGACATGATTGGTCGTCGTGTGCAACAAATGGATCCTCCTGCACAGAACCTGGACCAATTGGAAGCTGCTATACACGAGGAATGGCATAGACTGCCCTTTAGAGGATCAGGAGACTGACAGGGGGGGCACGAGGAGGAGGGTGCTGACTCACACGGAGGTTACACTCGGTATTGACCTTGAATCGTGTATGACACGCAAACATGACATTTTGAAAATTCACATTCACCAATAAATTGAATATTAAACATTCCAGGGCCATACTTGTATGGACATGGTTTACCATAAAATCAGTGTTTGTTTTTTTTTTAAATGAGCAATTATCATCATAAAATCAATATGGATTCCAATCATTTTGTGGTTTTGTATGTATCAAATGATCATACGGGTCAGAAAAACTCAATTTCTATCGTGGTCACCACGAGAGGTTTTATACAAGAGGTGCTTAATTAAGTTCTTTGTGTATATTTGGGACTACACTTTCTGAGTAAAGTACAGATTTTAGCACTATTGAGCAGACTAGGAGTCTAACGTGTGTGCTGGCGAATCCCGCATGAGACTCATCCCAACAAAGGTTCCAGAATCTCCAGGTTCCCATTGTCAATTGCTGTCAAAAACCACAATTCATGAATTTAAACATTAAAAGAGCCGGTTGCAGAAGCCATAAATTTGTTGTCATGTAATAATTCAGTAGAAATGGATTGTGATTATAATGCTTCAGGGGAATTAAAAAAAAGTAAACTGGCAAAGTAACACCATAGAAATACTTCCTGATATGTCCCAGCTATATAGACTTTGATAGATATATCAGAATGTGTTATGTGTGTCACATTAGTATCAATGCATACTACAATGCTCTGTTCATTCCCTTGTTCTCTTTAAGGAAACGTATCCCAGTAGCATTGTATTTACCGATATGACTGTAAGTGTCCTTAGATCAGGAAGTGTTTTTCTTATCTATGTGAGCAGTGATAAATATTAATCTTTCCGCACCCAAGTACACTGCTTTGTCCTTTCCTGAATGGAATGTAGCATCTCTAACAGGGAAAAACCCGACGCATTCGTCGAAATACAAATTATCTTCTTACAGGATGATTTTCTAACTTGGCCTCCCATTCATGAAGGGCTGTTGAAGATCCACGTTAATTTAGAACTATTAATATGTGTTATTATCCGTGAACCAACACGTGAGAGCCTACAAATGTTATAACGCTAAAAAGACGGCAGATTCACTGAAGACAATATCTTCTTCCAATGGCTGGCCACAAGAACTGCCCCACAGTTCATATAGATACAATTGAAATACATTCCTAAAGAATACCTCCACGCCAACCAGGTTCTAATCGGACAACGCAAAGATTTAACATCATTAAATGTGCACTTAACAAACACATGATATCGGTGAAACTTAGTACAAAAACTGGTTCAGACACACTTGATTATCTTCCTGCTGATATCAACACCATTCGTGACCAACTCGTGTTATTCCGGGACAAGCCGAATAGCGACTCGTGACCCTCTGGAAGGATTGCATGTATTGGCGCATGAACATCAGAACTACTTTAAACAGGAACGATAACTCTATTCTTGTTTGATTCCAATGGTACTTAATATCATCGAAGTAATCGTACATTGTATTGGTGTTTTTTATATTGTATGTTTTTAAAGAATTAAACCTTTTTGATACAACTAAAAGAAGGAGAAAAACGTATTTGTTACAGACTCATTCTGACGTAATTATTACCAGATGTTCAATTTTCCAATTATATTTCTAAATAGGGTTTGATAATCACAAATGGGATTTGTTTGATTAAATATGTAAATAACATTTATTAAAGCTACATTAAATCCCAAAGCAGAAACTCAAAAATGACTATAATATTTCTCAAACTGAACATTCGTGTAACCTTGCTGTCATACCCCAAGTTGAATTTTGAATGAATTCGCTGAAAAATATATGAATGACAAAAAAACAAAAACAGTCAGACTAAAATATTCCAAAGATGTGAAATATATGCCCAATGTTAAAGATTAAAGTTGATTAGTTACATGCAGATATATGTCTAATATTATTGTTTTGAAACTCGTAGCGATTTATAATTACATTTCCTAAAATTGTTGGAAGCGCACGTACAATCTCCATAGCAAGCCCGCAAGATCGTCAGAAATACCCTCAGTTGGAAACATGAGAGCCGTAATGTCAACAAACGCACGTGCGTGTATTTGAATCTCTCACCGTCAATCGCATGATTCTTATCGAAAACTTCATACCAGGCAGCAAAATCCTGTTAGCTAAGTTCTTTGTACTTTCAATATGACGATAATATATTTTTCATGTTTTTTTAAACAATGACATAATGCCATAAACGATTTAAGTACTCGGGATTATTTTTACCAAAGCACCGCAGTCATTTACGCGCGTTCTGATTGGTTTGTCGTATTTTCGTACATAACAAGCATCGAGAGGGGGACAAGTCTTCTTGGAGGTCACGGAAAGGGGCGAGTGGTGACGAATGATATCAACACCACATTCTGTGATGGGAAACAAGCAGAAACAATTCCACGACAAATCGGACCTAGTGAGAAAATCCAAACTTCTTGTACAGTGTCAAAACAGGTGTCGAAGTCGATAGTCTATCTCAAGTCTATCAACAGTATAATTTTCCCTTCCTTAAGTTTCAGGATTGTACAGTCTCACTGGACCTCCTTTGAAGTGTAAATGGAGATACTTGTTTCAACAGCAGAATTGTAGTATATGTTACGAATGTCATGATGAAATATTAACTATACAATGACTTCTTTCTTCTACCCATATGGTAGAAAAACAAAATCATATTAATGACACAACACAACTGTAAATGGTTTGTTTATTAAACATTCATGTTGCCAGTGCTATAACTACAAAGCGGTTTCATTAACATGCCTGGAAAAACATTGTTAGAATCAGTCACGACGGGTGGTGACATTCTCGAAGTATTGTTACTTCAAATGCAGCGGAGTGTAACCGATGGCCCCGCTGTTGGATAATAATCAACGTGAACACGATATTGGTTATCTATTCATTGTCCCGATCCGTTGAAAAGCATGCATTAGTGAGAGCTTTCGTGTCACATTACCCGTGGAGCTTGGGCACAGCGGTAGTGTTGTAGTTTGTAGTCTATCTGTTGCCTGGAAAACGGATGACCCAGTCATCGTCGAGCGAGCTGTCTAAGGGCTAGGGATCCAGAGTGACCAGGCAAGTGATCACCTGTGACCGGGTGTAAAAACCTTGGAGTCAACTTTGTGTGCAGACTCTTTCAGTGTTGTCACAACCCCTAGTGTACAGTACAAACACTGTGAATCCGTTGGTATATGGTATATGACCAAATGGTGGCCACATGAATACGCGCAAGCACCTAGTTGCGGATACAGCAACATGCAGTAAAACTTGAACAAAATCCTGTGGCTATGTGTCCCAGTCCACCCAGCTGTGAATGGGTGCCTCGTAAGAATGTGAAAGCTGCCATAACTCGGTGCGCCAAGTGGCTGCAAGAGATTGTTAATAGGATGTGCCGTTGAGATTGACATCTAAAGTTCGAGGGGCGAAACATACAAGCGCCTTGACCATGTACTAGTTGCGTGGATATGTGCGCTATATAAATATCCTATAATACTAATAAAATAATCTACGTCAGATCGGTGTGCTGAGTTCTATGGGCACACCAGAAACTCATGTCCGGAAGTTGGAATCCCGGCACCATACCCAGCAAAGTTAAAAATCTGAGACCTGCATAGCTTCGAGCTTTTGTTCGTAAGCATATTATTACGCAAAGTATGCTGTAAGTGCCACTATCACAATTATCGAACACACGACACCGCCACCAAGGGCGATTTTAATCCAATGTTCCTTTATATAATCTATCCAACCACGCTCCAGTTGACAACAGTATAACCGCAGACGGTGAAACATGCATTCGTTGTCCATATCATCGTTGAGAATGTGTCCACTTTTTATGAAAAGACGCAAGATGTCTTTGACGGTAGATTCCAAGTATCTTGGAAGGTCGATGCTTACTTCAGAATCCTTTCCAACTGATGCAATTATCAATATAGCCGAAAGCAAACCTGAGGGAGAAATATGATTATGTGATAGAAAATACATAAACATTTATAATCAATTGTAGTTTTCTGGAACAGGGGTCAATTTTATAAACTAACACAATCGTCATTCTAACAGGATCAAATTATGGTAGTCATTTTATAATTATGTTGTTCAAATATATATAATATTATTAATTTGATATGGCATTGTTTGTTGTCGCATACTTTTGCGTTAGTGAAACAAATGTGGACAACTTAAAGCTGATGTATGGCGTTATTACAGCAAAGGCTGAGCGGAAGGAGAAATACCATGGTTCCGGCACTGTGACACTATTAAGAAAGGTCACATGCAGCGCAATAATATTCAAATTATGTACTGCCAAAAATATTTTACAGTAGTGAGCGGAATAGACTTAAGAATTACGAGTTGGTACTTGTGGCATATTTGGCTGTGCTCTAAGAGAGACATCCTTGATAATCTCCAGGGTATACGTTACGATAACTCTCCACTATACCCTGGATGCAACCACGGCTTAGGGCGATGATTTTATTACCTCCCTTGGCTGGCTCCGCATTCCAATAGCCAATCAGTAGCCAATCCGCTAAGCCGCCGTTACAACCGAGCTTGCCAGTGTCAACAAGGATAGCGGTCGCAGTAGCGAAGGTTTGTTCGCAGTGCCACTCAGATTTTTTGGGAAATAATAAAGACAAATTGACAGATCTGAAACTTTAAAAAATTTATGACAGAACTCCTTCTACTTCTTTCAGAGTACTTCTGCATCAATTGTGTTGCCAAGTTTTAACGGTTAGATAATTTAAGAAGCGAAAGTGAGTTGTGATTGGTACGCTAAACTTCCCAGCCTAGGCACCTGATTGCATAAAAAAAACAGCCAACTGAGGTAATAAAATCATCGCCCTAAGCCGTGGATGCATCCAGGGTATAGTGGAGAGTGATCGTAACGTATACCCTGGAGATTATCGAGGATGTAAGAGAGATAAAGTGCTATTCTATTGGGACAGCTAGGGACACTTGAGAGGACAAAGAGGCACCTCATCGCCCTTTGTTCATCACTGAACCTTTAAATCCCTCGAAACAAGCACCTCACCAGGTCTGCCAACACCGCAGACAAGACGTAACTGATACTGGTAGCAAGAGCGAGTGCAGCTTAATAAGGCGTGTTAGCTTGCGTAATACTGCTTTCTTTGTCAGGCTCTTTTGGTGATAAGAATAATGAGTTCACGTGGACGTGCAGCACATTGAATACTGGGATACTATACTCCAGTAGAAAAATCATATAACTATATATATAAAACTATATATATATATGTCTGCGGATCTAAGTCGACCATATCAGATTAATGTCTATTAATATATCGCTCATCTCCTACGTATATACGAGATATTAAGTACTACGTAGGGGATAATTTGTCCTACGTAGGAGAAAATATGCCTTACGTAGGAGATATTAAGTCTTACGTAGGAGATAGTATGACCAAACATTTTTTTTCACCGTGGCCCTACTACGCTTCCGTAGTACTAAACCCTAACTTGAAACTCTACATATTACTGTTTGAGACAGTTATCATGAACATAGAACCGTTCATAGAGAACCGTTCTCTGTCAAGTTTGTACAGGAGGTGGTGCGCGTGTAAACGTATGAAGTAATATCCGTTACATGTTCAACACGAATGGCGTTATGAATTAGCTTCACAATATCATCTGAGACTGAATATCTTCGATATTCACTGCGCGATCAAAGGTAACAAGAGTTTTTAAATCTCCCAGCGTTGTTGAGTGAGTGACTCAACATGGTTTTATGGCATAAACACCATACAGGACATTGATTAGATTCATGTTCCCAAAGGAAAGACCAGCACGAACAAACACAGGCGTTCACTACACGCTCTCGCTTTATGAGATATACGACGACAGATGGTTGTTGTCACAACATGTACTCAGTGAGTGTTCAACAGCAACAAACAGTCAGTAGTTTACAAACTAAATTCAAAAAGCAAGGTTTCTTTCTATCCACTATTATGTATCATTTAGCATGTGTTAAGTTGTAGAAACGCTACACTTCAAAGAGTAAATAAGCACAAGAACTTCAATTTGTTCTCCGTTGTCAGATCACATAATGCCAATGTCATCGCTGGGCGTGGGACGTGGAGTGACTGAAAAGCAAATCAGCTCGGAATACTTTCTGTGTTACAAAGACATCTATTTAACATTAACGGCTGGTGTAAATCACATAATGCCAATGTCATCGCTGGGCGTGGGACGTGAAGTGACTGAAAAGCAAATCAGCTCGGAACAGAAGCTGTGTTTCAAAGACAGGTATTTAACATGAAAGACTAGTGAAAATTTTGCAGTAATGACTTTTTAATAACGATCGAAATGGGTTGACCAATATGAATAATCTCTCCATATATGCCTATGAGTATGAAGTCAAGTACATGTAATGCCTTGCAAATGGTATTATTGATAAATATAACCTGACAAACGTTCAGCCATTATTTGGGCTGTGGGGTAGCCGAGTGGTTAAAGCGCTCAGTCGTCACGCCGAAGACCCGGGTTCGATTCCCCAAATGGTTACTATGTGTGAAGCCCATTTTAGGTGTCCCCCGGCGTGATATTGCGGGAATATTGCTAAAAGCGGGTAAAAATAAACTCACCCACTGACTTCATTATAACCGACACTGTCCATGTATTTCATGCAGCCCCGACTATTTTGCCGTCGCCCATGTCCGTGTATGAACCATACTGAGACACATACAAATAGCATGTTACAATAATGTCAGTAAAAGCTGATATCATCTAAATGCGTTTTCATGCAAGATTAAAGAGTTACAATGCCTTTAAGGAGATATGCAAATAAACGATAAGAAGGAATCTCGTAGCATGCTGTTACTCTGTAATCAACGAGTGAGCGAGTGAGTGTGGTTTGCGCCGCTTTTTTGTAATATTCCAGCAATATCTCGGGGTGGCCTCACACATTATGCAAATATGAGAAATTGAACCCGGATCCACGAGCGAAGGCTTTAACCACTAGCCAAGCAAACCGACCCTCCATGATCAACCAGGACACGTGACCAGAACATAATTTGGTAAACATCAAGCACATTCCTATGGTTGTTTTCATATATGGACACAGCAGATAATTTCATATATGCTTTCATTCGGAAAGTGAAGTATGTGTATATATAAAATTTTATTTTCTAGCATTGCCATTGAAAAATATACTTTTTTTACTTCCTTTTTAAAACTGTTTCTGAAGAGAGAATACCAATGCAACCATTCTGAATAACACATATAAGATTCGGATTTAAGATTCACAAATCGTAATCGAGACGGGAAGCTATATGAGGATCATAGGAGAACACATAACTTGTCAGTTGACACGATTTATCATCAATGAAGATCTTAGTGGACCCGAGCAGCGCAAGCTCGAAGGGCCCGCCAACTGGTCTTGTATAAGAAAGTTGAGGTGTCACGGGTGACCAGCGGGGTCATGCATCCTCATTAAGATGGGGACGGGCCGGCGAGAAAGGTGGCTAACAGCACATCGATGAAGTGTGCAAGTCTACTAAACTCAAGGTGGTGATTAATCTGAGTCAAGACAAATGAATACTATTACAGTCATGAGATAACTTGTTTGAAATACTCACAATGCCCTTGCACGATCTCATGAACAGTTCCTGTCGATAGTCATCATGACTCCATGCTTTACATATGTTAACATCAGTATAACTGTGCATAAAACTGTAGTGTTTACAGTAACATTGCGCTTTTGCAGAGATTCACATGTGATGTAAATGAACAATTTATATGATTTAGATAAATATAATAATATGTGCTCATGAAGTTGTCAATGCCTCCCTTCACGTCTTCAGTCAGTGACACGCACCGCCATATGTTAACGGTGAACGCGCGCTGCGAATGTTGTGAAGCACAAGCACGTGCACGTGAGTGTGTGGGATGCACGAGCAGTGTATCCGTGCTCTACATGCTATGTAACGGTTCTGTCTACTACAGACAGACAACACGTACTTATAATAGATCGTCCATACAAGTAAACTGTGAGCTTCCTCCGATGATAACGAGTCCCAGTGTACCAACTTGATTTTTATGCATACTATGATTTTGCTTGCTTGGTTCCTCATTTCATTAAAATGCAAATAACGAATACACATTTGTTTGCATCTCTAACCAGGTGTAATCTTGAATACGAGTGGACGTTGCTTTGCATAGCATTGACTACATGCATAATACGTTGTGTAGTATATGTGCAACATATACAGTATTGCAGTAAATATATTACAGTAAGGGCTGGACAGAAGGTCAAATAATATCGGTCTGTGACTGTGATACAGACTGGGACAAGGTATGGAAAACCAACAATTTGGACAACAAACCATTGGTTGGGTCTTTTAATTGTAAATATGATTCAAATAGCTTAACCTAGATTTCGATATCCTCGAATGTACATTTGGTTGAAACTGGAAAATATACATTTATCCCGAGACAAGAACGAATGTTTACATATAATTCAGAAGTATGACAGCACGAGTATCCATTTTGTCTTTTGTTTTCTACCCGTCCCTACTAGACGAACAACTGGTCTCTGAAATGAACATATTTTACAGAAAAAAAGTTCATAGTAAAAAAGAGAAATATAATAAAAACGAGCCCTGAGACATTCTCCTGAAGCTGTGGAAATCTAGACTTACCACATTTTCTAGACTTGCGTGGACTTGGATATATTTGCTTCAGGGTCTGTATGACAAACTACGTCATTACATACGCTCAATCACAAGTGCCTCCAGGTCACGGAGAATCATTGGTGCAGGGGCTCGTATTGCAATTCTCGTGCGTTTGCATGTGTTGTTGACGCGGCATGGACGCCTTGTAACATCACTATTTGATTATGATTCACAAACACATGCTCATGATATGGTCGCAATCATGCCACGGATTAGCAGATATTTATCATGAAAACAGGTTTTTTATGTAGGTGGCTTGAAAC